ACGTTCTTCATAGATCATGAATGCGCGTTTAGTGATAGCGCAGATGCTTTTATGCCTTCTCATCACGCTACATCCCAAAATTTTTTGTCATTAAAACATTACATTTTTTTAGAATCATTTTGCGGAGAAAGAATTGGTGCAATTAAGTGAATTGTCTCTGAAGGGAACGTTTGCATTGAAACGAAATATCTAAGCACATTGACAGTATTCCAGACCGAGGAATTTTATTGGCATTGTAAAACTGGAGATCCAAAATGATGCTGATAAAACATGATAGTCGATCATATAGAAAGGTATTTGCTCGTAATAGTAATTGCTGATGATTTCATCAACGGTAGTTATTTTCATTTTGGAAAGATAGACGCTTTAAATAAAGGTTTTAGGTGTAACTATACACCTCTCGTCCTTATTCAGATGGGCATTTTACTGATGTGTTACATATAACTGATTTATTGAATTTTCGCATTACGGTAGAAGAACGAAATATGTCCACGAATTTGATGATATCGAGGTCAATCGACAGTATTACAGACTGACGAATGCATAAGAATGCATGTATATTAAATATATGAACAAATAAACGCGAATAATTTCAGTTCCACCTCAATAAAATTTTATTGTGCTTATCTTCATGCTTTGATGGGCATTTTACTAATCTGTTTTGATGCCTGTGTAACAGAGGGTTAAATCAGCTATTTCTGAGAGATATGCTCACGCATATGAAAGGGATAATGCTTAAAGAACAACCGCTATCCTGATATGAGTTTATTTGATAGAATCGTCGATAAATAAATGTGTTCACGTAGTGTGTGCATATCTGTATAGGTTTGTTAAGAGAAGAGAGGAACAAGCGTGAAGACCAATGTTGCCAGATCAAGAGGATTGATAGGCCATAATTCCTCCATCCGCCCTGGTAGATCGCATCTTTTGAATGAAATACTCATCACAAAATTATTAAGACTAAATGCCCGAGTTGTCGATATACTGCAGCTCAATGCATTGCTTTATTCGTTGGTTACCACTGTGCATGATGACATCTTTAATATGGACAGTGTTCATGTAACGGGAACATTTATTTTCATTTGTAACATTAGCGCACTCATTTGAACGCTTTTTATGCTGTTTTTAGATCTCTATACCCAACTGTTTAAAATTCATCAACCTTGGTCAACTAAAAGTATGTGCTGGCAGTTATTGGTTAAATAAGCAATCACATCAACAAAATGGGCGACCCACTATAAGTAACCAAACTTCAAGCAAAAACCAACCAACTCCATTGAAATTTTCATTTTGCCAATATTCGTCGATCCTTGTTGTGTACCAAACAACACGATGTCCAGCACCAACAAAGTGCTTAATCATTGCTATAGTACACCGATCTGAACCTCCATTCCACTGTTCAGGATGCACGATGATGACAAGCATGCCTTAATTTTAATGAATTGTTAGAGGTGATCATTCAAGATTCCATGAATTTATACTGACAAAAATGAAAACGAAATGGTACATTTGATTTGATCTCTTGCAAATATAAGTGACAGCAGCAGTGTTGATTCCGACAAAGCATTTAACTTTTTCATATATTGGGACATAATCAGTTTAAATAAACCCCACTCGGTAAGTGATGATTACAAACGCAAAAGTTTGCAATGATAATCAGAAGAGACACGTTTAAACATCAGTACAAAAACATTTTGATTATATAGTAAGACTATTCCTAGCAGAATGGTTTTACTATCTAAGATCATGTAAAATTATCGTTCATGATCAGTGTAATCTGGAAGTATGCTCCGAAACGTCAACTAATTAGTGTCAGGCAAGTACACTGAATAATTTCAGTTTATTTCATATGCTGTCATTGAAGCTAAATTGATTTTTTCCTATGCAATCCTGGGAAAAAAACTTGCATCTTCGTGATAATGCTAAACAATGCTACAAGAATAATTCATAACAGGATGCCTTTTAACATCTCGAACTTCTCGGCACCTTCACAAAGACAAAAAGTTGGCCAGCACGCTATTTGAAAGATAACAGAGATAACCAAACATCAAACATTGACTGGAAATGGAATAGGAAAATGTGGCATAATCTTTTGGTGAGCGTCAACCGATGCTTTTATTCAACAGATCTGGATCGTGAATAAATGACTTCAGTAGTTCTTTGATATATAAATGGTTGTTAAAGTTTATCCGCGACTATTTTGGGATGTTTTCACGGAACGTTTGCATGTAAAGTGCAATGTTCACGACGAAAATTCCGATCAAAATTATGAAGCTTAAACGTGAACTTAGGCATAACGACATCTCAAGTTCTATCTCTGAGTGGTGGCAATCCACAACTGAGAACAAGCCCATAAAGCAACAACATCATAAAATACCTTTTTATCACCAGCGATGGATCGTTCGTGGAAAAATGTTCGTCTTATCCACCAAACAATAAACGAAGATGGCACACAAATAATAATAGTAGACAAGTAAAACAGAAGCAAAAGGAATCTTTTCAGCGATGACAGCATTCGTTCATTAGAATCAAATTTGGATCAGTGTTTCAACTAAGTATACCAATTTGGCGACCCACTTCCCTTATTCCTCCTCCCACTTGATCAGCCTTTGTTCTCTCAGTGTTATTTTCACTCCTCCTTCAATTTGTCTTACTTACCTCTTTTATGAGAGCACGATTTATACAAACCAACTGATTAAAAGACATTTTTCAGAGAATGATAACAACATATGAGAATTATTCAAAACGCTATCAAAAACTGTTGATTTCGACCGCTACTTTTGCTGAACATCAACTGCCGTTTTGCTGATTTTCTTGAGGTGGTAGTAGGTCGACGATGATGCAGTATTTTCCAAAGATATCACGCGTTCTTGCGTACCGCAGATTAATCATTCTGATTGACAAGAGACTGATTAAGAGACCTTTCTCAGAGAATCATAACAACATATGAGAATTATCCATAACACTATCAAGAGTTGTTGATTTCAACCGTATTTTTTGCTGAACATCAACTAACGCTTTCGTTAATTAACAGCATGGATTTTTTGAAGTAGGTGATTTGAGGTTGATGATGATGCAGTATTTTCCAAATACATCATACGGTCTTCCGTGTCCTAGTTTAGTCAATTTCGACTGATGCATAAGTCAAAGGTGAATCCTAATGTTTGCTGGATGCAGTCAGGTGATAAATATAATTATTGGGATGGAGTAATCAGCTGGATACCATTCGATTTTCAGTGCGTGCCACTTTACTTTTTATCGATCTATCAACGGGGATGTTCTCAGCTTTAACTCATAAAAAATTTATGGAATATGAGGAGTTATGAGGCATCCATAAACAACAAAATCAATCAGAAGTCTAGACTATAGACTATAACTGATAACGCTCATAAACAAATGCTTGATGAAGGTTATCAGTTGTGGTCTGTAGTTGAGAGTACCTTATCTGTTACGTGTCATTAGTGCCTTGATAACACATACGCATTTTCTGAAATACTCGTCAGCTTGTTCAAATAATTGATTCTTCCTTCCCATATCCCCAGTTAAGCGTCTAAAAAAATCGGTTTCCTGTTATTGCTAATTTCAGTGAGGTCAAGCACACTTGGGAGGAAATACTTGAATGTACTTTAATATTCTTGCTATCGCCGCCGCTGTTTCATTCTTCGCGAATTGGCAATTTGCATTTCAGGTAATAATTAATCATTGACTTTCTTTACTGTTCATTTCATGCAAATGTACCTAATGTTACTGATTTTTAATCACTGTTGATAATTCAGTGAATTCTTTGGGGAATCAGGACAAACAGGTCATTAAACACTCGAAATGATTTTCCTATCAAATCTCCAATTGGCATCTCCGCTGGTTGAAATGGAATGAATGAAAAACGAATCAAATCTGATGTAACACTGATAAGTGGTGTATCGGAATTTTGATCTAGAAATATGTTTCTGAAAAATCCTCTATTAAAAGTCGCTAAGAAACTTCAAAAATCATACGCTCTTGTTCTGAGAAGTGCATGGTGAAAATTGTGGATTTAATTCACTTCAGACGACGTATGTGAACACAGCCGTTCAGACCTTTTTCATTTTCGCTAATCGCGCATACCAAATTGATCAAAACTGCACATCTTGTATAGTTCCGTATAATCAATGGACTGCTCATTGGAGTGCTGTTGTGGCGAGTTTTTATCCAGGAACGATTACTGGACTCTTGGTACTTTTCTCATTTCATTGTCATCTCGAAAAATAATGATTTTTCACATAATGAAGGAAGATTATTTGAAAAACTCGTAAAAGCGCAGTTTCATTCAGCGGCGATTTATTTTCATTTTCCCATTCAAATTCCTTATTTCCATTTTCTCACGCAATTTGTAGCCCCAATTTTAACTTACTTTAAAAGTCAGCAAAAAGTGATCCTATTCACTTCAAGGTTAAAAATTCAGCAAAATCGCGGTATAATGAATTGACGTTGAACTCTTTTAATCGGTCTCTGAATGATATCAAATGAACACCAGAAATATTGAAAAAAGCCACTAACCGAATTGCACTAATTTATGATCACATTCATGTTACAATGATTTATGAGGAATACGATTTGATAACGCAGGCGCGTTGGTTTTAAAAACATTATTGATCATTCAGTCAAAAGATTAAGAGCGTACGAAATTACTGAGATATGATTTGATTGATCATTTCACCGCGAGTTGAACATTGGAGGATGGCATGAAAAAAATTGAGTCGATTGTGAATATGAATGGTCGTTTCGATATGATCTAAATCGATTGCAAAAATTGAAATATTTTGTTGCGCAATCTCACCTTGGATGAATGTAAGTAGGGTCTGAGAAAGAAAGACGACGCATATTATATTATCTTAAATCTTATTGTTTTGATATTCAAGCTTGTTCCACTGGTATTTTAACACTGGGTTGTTAAGTGGAAAGTAACGGTGACGATCTCTGTTCATACAATCCACCTTTGAAAACATTCAACTGAACTGTTCTCTAAATAGTTCAGATGGATTGGATTACAAAGAAATTTTTAATTCAGCGTTGAAGATGTCTTCTGATTTCGGTTAAGATGAGTGATAGTGCTGTTTATGTTTTATTCAGGTGTCGATTTTTAAGGTTCCACTAGGTGTGTCTCGGCTTGGAGTGCAACGGACGCTGATGATGAGTACTATTCCGGCTATTTTGGGATGCATTCTTCAGTTCACCACAAGAATAGCAACTGAATCCGGTGAGAATTGTCGAGTATTGTTAAAGCTTTCAGAAACAGTATCCGTGAAAATTTATGGCACGAAAGCGTTGGGACGTTGAGTATCCCTGATCTGTTTGCTTATTCAGGTCTGACGATGTTTGTAAGTGTGTTGTGCGTTGGACGCTTCCTGGTTGGCATTCATGCCGGGTCTTCGCTTTGCCTCTTCCCAGTATTCATCGCCGAAATATCGCCAGTAAAATATCGGAGTTTCTTATCAACATTTCAGGTAATTTTTTTGAAACTGAGGAAGTGGAATCGACTCAATGGGCATTTGCAAACATTTGCAAAAAGCCGTTTCATGACTCTGATCGCTTCAAATTGCTCTGTTAGCGATTGTTGGTGGATTAGTGAAATCAAAGATAATTTCTCCTCCAAAAAAGTTGGACGAAATCGATGTATACTGGCAGGTCTTTTGAGATAAAGATCACAAATTAACTTGTAGATCCACCGCAAATTAATGGTCACACATTATGAATAAGTGAAGCTTTTTCTACTCAATTAGGTTCATATTCTTGCCATTGACTACTACAGTATGCGTAAAGATGACGTTTTAACGCCTCAATATCTACTGATTTATTTGGTATTTACACGTCATTGTGATCAGCAATTATTTATTGCTAACAATAAGGTCTTTATACTATTAACATATTGCTTATTTTTGATTTGCTGCTCCCTCCTCATCTGTTTTTGGAACTTCTTCATGACTTTGATCGCTTCGAATTGATGCGTTAACGGTTGTTGGTGATTTTCCTGATAATGCTCACCAAAGCGAACACACTTCAAACTTCCAGAATAAGGGAATTCGACATAGTCGTTAATGATGGTCGATTCGATAAAACTGAGAGGACTTTTATATTCAGGAATTTTGGGCACTTAAACGCATAAAAACAAAGGCATGAAGAACCACCTCTCATTGATCCAACATCATAGCTTTCTGACCAGCCGCGCATTTCTTAGCGGATCCTGCACGTAGGCCGACAACGAATCGATAATACATGAGATACTCATTATCGCGAATATCTTTAAACAATGTCGGCATGGAGACAGATTATTCAGCCCTTCTCCCCGTGGGGTGACCTAACTTTTGCTCTCCCCATCCCCGTCATCGTTCTTCCCTCGCGAAGATGGATTTCTCGAGCGAAGTAGTAAAAAACCATCATTACATTATGAAATGCATAAAAGTGGGGAACAATACCGCAGAACTTCTTTTTATATCGCTGAGAAAATTGTGCACCCTTCTAGCTGAAAGGCCAGAATAATGAAAATGAGCAAATATTTTCCTGATCCGTAAGCTCAAAAGAAAAAATTCTTCTAGCCTAATTCCTGTCTTTCCTTCAGGCATGTTCTATGTATTGCTATGTCCACCTTACAGCTGAGATACCCTTACCGGTAAGATGGGTGGGAGAGAAGTGGG